GGGGCCAACACTGGTGGAGGCACAACCCCATGCCACAGACCCCCAAGGGAACCTGAGGGGGTGAACCTGCAGTAGGGGTTGAACCTCAGGGGACTGTAAGGCTTTAGTGGGGCTGAACCTGGGGGGATTACCAGCAGTAGGGGGGGGGTCTGTGGCTTGAGAGCCGGACCCCAGGCAGTGGCGAGGTTTAAATAGAGCACAAAACGAAGAGCAGAACAAAGCAATGACAGGGGCAGCGCACAGCCAGCACAGCTGAGCCCAGGCAGCAAGGAAATGCTTAGCTGGAAGGGAATAAGTTGCGGCACCGCTGAGCCCAGGCACCGCTGAGAAGTTGATGCTTGCCTACTGCCCCCTCCCCTCCCCGCTACTGCTCCCCGCGTCCAGCTGCTGACAACTGTGGTGACAGACGGACAGCTGTGGTCCAGCTGCGTCCAGGGGGAGAGTGGCAGACAGACGGGGAGCGTGGAAAGACTTTTAGCCAGAGACCCACTGCTGCAGGCCGCAGGTACAAGGCCAGAAGCGCTGTAGCAGGCCAAGGAAAACCAGGACAGAAGTAACCGGCAAAAGTAGAGGCTTACCTTTCAAGCCGAACCCGGGATGAGCACGAATAAGCCAGGGATGCAAGGAGACCCCAAAGCAGAAACTACAAGAGCAGAAACCGGCAAAAGTAGAGGCTTACCTTTCAAGCTGAACCCGCGCCCCCAATACTCGCCCTCGCGCCCATCTGCTGCCGTCCCGCCCTCCTCCCTTCCCCACGGGTACCTGCACAGCCACAGGGGATGGCAGGCACACCCTAAGAAACGCGGCAGCAGAGGGAAAACTAGAAGAGCAGAAACAGGCAAAGTAGAGGGGCTTACCTTTTCAGCTGAACCCTTCCCCCCCAAATACTCGCCCTCGCGCCCATCTGTTGCCGTCCCGCCCTCCTCCCTTCCCCACGGGTACCTGCACAGCCCCAGGGGGGAGGGGCGTTGGGGAGGGGTGGTGTTGATCCCCACACCCCCCCCCCCCCCTTCACGTGCAATGCACACAAACAGTGCTAGTCACTGTGTGCTGAAGTGACCAGGGGTGCAGGGAGGGCGGGTGAGGTGCAAGGGGGGGGAGGGGGCCACTGGTGGAGCTCCAGCTATAAGCCGCAGACCCAAAGAGGGGGTTGTACCTGAGGGCTTGTGGGTTGTACCTGAGGGCTTGTGGGTTGTACCTGAGGGCTTGTGGGTTGTACCTGAGGGCTTGTGGGTTGTACCTGAGGGCTGTACCTGCTATACCTGGGGAGTTTTATCTCCAGAAGGGGGGACTGTGGCTTGCAAACCGTGGTGCCACCAGTGGCACCGTTTTACGGGAGAACACAATCATGCGTGAGGAGTCTTTTTGGAGGCGCCTCAAAAACAGTGGCACCGTTTTCAGGGAGAACACAATCAACAGCAGCCGAGGGAACCGACCGCAGAGAAGCAAATGGCAACAAGCAAGAGCATGGCAGCCATTCTGCTGCCTCCCAGAACTCCCCTTGTGCCCCGTGCGTCCCAGCGACCTGTGAGGGGGAAGGAAAGTAGCAGGCAGAGTTAGAGTGAGGAGGAGTGGAGCAGGGCGGAGTGAGAGTGAGGAGTTGAGCAGGGCGGAGTGAGAGTGAGGAGTGGAGCAGGGCGGAGTGAGAGTGAGGAGTTGAGCAGGGCGGAGTGAGAGTGAGGAGTGGAGCAGGGCGGAGTGAGAGTGAGGAGTGGAGCAGGGCGGAGTGAGAGTGAGGAGTGGAGCAGGGCGGAGTGAGAGTGAGGAGTGGAGCAGGGCGGAGTGAGATTGAGGAGTGGAGCAGGGCGGAGTGAGAGTGAGGAGTGGAGCAGGGCGGAGTGAGAGTGAGGAGTGGAGCAGGGCGGAGTGAGAGTGAGGAGTGGAGCAGGGCGGAGTGAGAGTGAGAAGTGGAGCAGGGAGGACATGGCCTCAGCGGAACAAGCCAAGGGCAGCAGAGGGGCCTTCCTTGACACGGCCTTTGCTGCTACTTGCTGTCCTGGAGCGAGGGAAGGGAGGAGGGGACAAGGGGCACTTGGAGTGGAGCAGGAGAGCGAGCAGGAGAGGAGGAGGGAGGGGAGGGGAGGGGAGGAAGGGACAAAGGGCATTGGCAGTGAGTGGAGAGGAGCAGAGGAGAGCGAGCAGCCCCTGGGCCACGGTAGGAGGCAGAACGGCACCTGTGGGGAGGACGGGGGCGAGGGGGGTTGCCCATGGCTCAGAGGCTTGAGCAAGTGGCAGCAGCGGGGGAAGGGGTTGGGGGGGGGGAGGGGGGGTGGGTTGGGAGGGGGGTGGGACGAGGAGCAGCGACAGGACGCATGCATGCGAGCAGCCTAACCCACTAGCGACAGGACCCTAGGCAAGCGGGCGGCGCAAGCGCCCTGAGCCATGGGCGGAGGCGGAGGAAGGGGAGGGGAAAGGGGAGCGGAAGGGGGGAGCGGAAGGGGGGAGCGGAGGGTGGAGGGGCCAGGGGAAAAGAGGGGCACGGGATGTTTGAGATGAGAAATGCATGGAACAAGTTGCAATGACAGGCAGCAAACGGGTGCATGGAGCACGGTGCATGGTGGGGCGAAGCATAGCACAGGTGGGAGCATGGTGCAGGCAGCAAGGCGACACGAAAGAAACCAGAGCGGAAGTACGATTCACGAATCCACGATTCTGAGATTCGGCGCGAGTACGGGTTCGCGCTGATTCGCGAATCTTACGGATCCGTACTACCATATCTTACGGAACTGGACGCATCAAGCCGAGCGTCCGAAGCACAAGGAAATACTGTTCGCGAAAGTGGGCACGAAAACCGCCACGACAGCTATGCGGTAGACAGGGAAGGCTGTCGCCAGAGTGCGAAAGCTCACCTAGGATGAGATACGAAGCTGTCGGCAGCAGGGACGTCGCGAGGGAGAAGCGTCGCGTGGAGAACCGCTCTGTAAGAGGGCTAGATTCCGTTGGAAGCGGGTCTGCCTCTGCCTGACACCATCCGTCGACAAAGTCATCGCACACCAATCACATCTGGCCGCGTACGGCTCGACGTCGCACACGGAATTCTCGAGGCCAGGTTGACGAAACCATCAGCCTGACGAAAATCAGCGTGGGACGAAAACCACCAGTTTGGCTAGATTCCGTTGGAAAACTTAGGCTTGACGAAGATTCTCTGTTGGGGAGGAGCCAACCGCTGACGAAAAAACACCGTTTAGCGAAAACAGACTTCCACAGCTGGCCAATTAAATCAGTCTCGCGGTAACCACCAGCTTGGCACGATCCTCCATCGTTGAGAGCTGCGGTCGCTCATCGTTCCGGTCGCACGCAGACTGACAAAGGTTGTCGTCCGCGGCGTTGACGGAAACCGTCAGGTCGATTTGACGGAGGCGATTTGATGATTCCGCTGCGAGCAAAACTGATAAGGCAAATAAGGGAAAGTAGAAAATGTGTCAGCGGAACCGAATAACGGGAAGATCGCGTGTTGGAGCAAAAGCGTTGAAAGAAGAATAGCGTCGGACTGAATACGCTGACGATTCCCCCTTACCTTGAGCGCCGTCCGATGGCGTCGTAGCGGTGTGACGCAGCGTGTTCAGTTCGACGCCGCTGGACTTGCAGAAACTGACGAGACGACGTACTCAGAGTCAAGCCGTATGATGCCGACGCCCACTGCTGCCCACGGACCGCCGCCAGCACCGATGACCGCCGCCGACCGTCGCCATCACTAGCTGACGAGGACTCCGGCGGGTTGTGCGCAGCAGCGACGCGGTTGGGTCGTCGAGTCTTCACGGGAAAAACCAGCCACTAAGCGAAACCTGACGCGAAAGGTTCGCCATCCGCCAAGTCCGTCGGCGCGTTTGCGAAAACTGATGCCAAAAGGGTCGGGACTTGCAAGATACACGCGACCGTCGCCGGCGATCACGGCGGGGAGAGCGGTTCTCCACAACTTCAACAGAGCCGCGAGCAGTTCCGCTCCGCTTTACAGGGAAGAGCGACCCTTGGCGCGCAGTTCCTCTCCGCGTCGGTCCGGCGAATCATTCGAGACCGCGTTTTGGAGAGCCTCTCTCCCTTTCTTAATCGCCGCGTTAGTCCGGCGAATCGTGCGAGGACTCTCGCGAGTTGCGGTATCTCGTAAAAGCATTCGACGATCCGTCTCGTGAGAATATCGAGGAAGTAAACGGGGCCGCCAGCGAGCCGGCCTAGGCAGGGAAGCCGCCTGATCCGGTTCCTCTACCCTAAGTCGAGCTTCATTCCTAACTAGAGCTTCATTCCCTATTAGCGCTGCTAGAGAAACTTCGAGAAGCTAGAATGAGCCTGGAACTGGAGCGCGAGAACCTGGAATGGGCAAAGGAGAGACTCGGTGAGAGAGCCAGGATGAGCGAGCCTGGGCCTGAGAGAGCCTGGTGAGCGAACAAGCTCCTGGGCAAGAAATCTCAACATCGGCAAAAAAGTTCAGCAGCCAATTCTTTCCCCAAGGCCAGCCTAGACGCCGCTGCCTGGGTGGGTGGTTTCATGGCGCAGAAGGCGAAGATTGCAACGCGAGGCGAAAAATGCAAATGTGAGGCGACGTACACGAGCCGCTCGGTTTCCTGTTTGACGGCCAAGGCTCGGCTTACGCGGCAATGGTCCCAACGGATTAGACATACAGGGCTAGAGCGGTTTTACGAGCCTTGACGCGAGGTTCGACACGGGCGTGGGGTGTCCAGGTGAGTTGAATGAGGGTGAGGAGACAAAGTTGAATGGTTGAGGTGAATGGCGAATCGACGCGGCGGGCGGACCTAAGTCTGGGGTTAGTGCGGCTCGAAATTGCGGCGGCCATAGCTTTAGTTCCTTCTGTCAGAGCTGAACAGACGCGACGAGGGAGTTTTGGAGGGAAAGTAAGGGCCAAAGGAGAAGCGCGGCGTACGCGATAACATATGAACGACTTTCGAGAAATTTGAATTACGCCAAGAATGATCAGATTGTGATATGGTATAAAGGGAGGTAGATACTTTCACATTGCTACTACGAATACATTCACCTAGATTGCCTATTTTTCAAGCCCTTTATCGAGTTACAAGTTCTTCTTTCTATATACCGGTACATGAGATGTTAAGCACACCAACATCTATTCATCTAAATTCTTGCTCCCTACCGTGAACGCCACCAGAAGGACAGCGAGCTTGTGAGAAAGGAAACCCAACACACCAGCAGCAAACTGTTGCGGCTGAATCTTTACAACCTGCAGGCCTCCCGCCAAGAGCCCCCCATCAATCGTACCATCACCACCACCCCCTCCTCCACTAACACCCCCCAGAAGGGCAACAGCTGAGCCAATAGCAAGAGTGGCTAAGGCCGCCCGTACACCTATACTTCGGACCAGTTGAAGGGTATCAGCACCTCCACTCTCCCCTTCCTTCGCCATTCCGCTGCTGGGAGCTTCAGGCACGGACTTCAATTCTCCTGATGCCTCAAATGTCGATGGTAGCTCATCAACTCTAGTCTGCAACCTCAGCAAGTAGACAAACGCTGCCGCCCCACCTGCAGCAAACGCCACAGCAGTATCTGCACCGCCCAGCCACCCAGCTGCTCCCGTCCCTGTAACCACCAACCCTGTGGTAACCAGAAGCATCAGCCTCTTCAGTTCCTCATACTCCCTCAACCCATCCTCCCTCTTTTTCCGAGCTTGCTCCGCAGCTTCGGCAGCCGTACCAACTGCCCCGGGTGCTGCCAAAGCCAAAGAAGGATCTAGGGTTTGTGTTTTAGCCACTCTTAGCTGAATAGCTGTTGGAGTGTCTGTGTTACCACTGTTACCACCACCTGAGGGATCGCCAAGGAAATTAGAGGAGAAGGGCCCTGGAAGTAGTGTGTACTGGACTGCAGGGGTAGCAACCGTTGTAGCTGCTGCCGCCACCTCGGCTGCTGCTCCTGCTTCTGCTGAGGCTGCTGTTATTTCTTCTGCACTGTTGGGAACGACAGTAATTGCCATGCTGTCAACTCGCCACGTGGCGCCGCGTTGAGGCGCCAGCCAAGCAGCCGTCACTGCACCAATGCTGGGAGCCATCAGTCGAATCTCTGCTGTCTGTCCTGCAGCGAATGCTGTTGCGACAACTGGAATGATTCCAGTGGCTGCAGCATTCGTCCGCTCCTCTTCAACGGTTTTAAAGAGTTGCTCTTTGCTCTCCTGATCCTTGATTCCTTCCTCCTGTGGCTCGAGTCGCACCGAAATCGTGTCACCTCCTTCCCCGATCAAAGCCAATAAGACGCCGCCACCTGGCATCGACATGCCGGAAAGTGGCTCTGAGCTCGTCTTCACGTGAATCACGTAAAGACTCGTGGCATCCGCTGGCTTCTGCTCCTCTTGAGCGCCGTTTGCGCCGACACCGCTGGCGACATCAGCGGCGCTATTTCCGGCGTCATCCTTGAAAGGGCTTGCTTGGCCTAGGGGTTCAGATGGATGAGTTTCTAAAGCCGAGGGGAAAGTGCGTAGGAGACGCACGGGCTTCTCGAAATTCTGCGAGGCGAAAACGGCGAACTGACGTTCGACTCGTGCGCGCGGCGGTGAAGTTGACTTGAAAGAGGTGTTAAGAATCTCGGATTTGGGGAGTCTCGCCAGGCGCGGGTGTCGCTTTGAATAGTGCAGCGACAGTGGGGAGACCAGACGTGGCTGGCAGGAAAGCGCGAACGCCATATGGCTGCAAATCAACGGAAGGAGAGACTAAATCGGGATTCGAAGGAAGAGCTGTGGGATATCGAGACAACTCGGCAGAATCTCGTGCTGACCGCGAAGCCGAGCGTTGGAAAATAACGAATATACTACCCCTACGACTTGTGTCAGAAGCTCAGCACAGCTATGTGAAAGGTCCCGCCTCGAGATTGACGAGTGATAGCCGTTTCTTGGGATCATCTCCACTTCGGGTTACAGGTTGGAAAAAAACAGCACTTCGGCTTTGCGAAACGGACTCGACTCGCGCACTTCGAGAGGGTGTCCGAAGTAGCGGACGTCAACTCGCCCCCAAACCCTCGACATCGGATGAGGACGTCAATCCAGCACTGCACACCACTCCAGACATGTACACTCCCGGTTTACGCTGCCCAAGCCAAAATGTTCCCGGAAATTTTCCGGAAACCATGTCACCCACCGAAAACAATTGCAAACAGAAAAGTAGTTCGCCAAATTCGGAAACACAAAAAGGGTGTGAGGCATGTGAAACCACGTCAGCCAGCACAAATCAAGCAACCCAAACCAAACCAGCGGCACCAAATACAGTACAGTTCCACGGATTGAGTTTCGCCAATTTCGTTCGGTCGGTTGGGTTGACATTTTTTTTTGGCTTTTGAAACTGCCCCAGAAAAGCCAGATGATTTATGATGTGACGTCAATCTCCACTACAGTACAAGGTTTCAGGAGCCGTACTTCGGAAGGTCGGACATCCCAGAATTCAGCACTGTAGCGTGAACAGTGGTGGTAACCCGTTTTCCCCCGCAATGACGTCCCAGCCATGCTACAAGTCATATGCCCTGAGAGCCCGGGGGGCGACTCGGGGGATTTCGCGTACATCGAATATGCTCGGGCAAACGGGACTCTGGCGTGTCGCAAAATGTTTTTTGCTTGTATTTTATGAACTGTTCATGGTCGGCAGTGTTGGCGTTTGTTGCGATCAGGTGTCGCTCACCATGTCGCACGCGCGTCAACTCAGGGTTCATGGTAAAGTTTTAGATTCCACTCAACATTCAATGCGCTCTATCAAGAACAAGGAAAAGGCGTTTACATTTGAGAGAATCGCAGATGTACGGGGTAGGCGAACATCAACGAGAGCGGTGACCAGTCCTGGTTGCGCATCCGGATTCATTTTACAGTGATATAAAACAGGCCCCCAATTGTACAAACATTACTCACACAATTTGTGGGGCAAACGTGGAGGAACATAAATGGCTGGTCTAGTGGTTGTTGGATTTTCCAGAAAGTGATGTGTATTCTGCTCCGAGCATTGGTTGACGATTCTGACACAAACAGCCAGTGTCAGATCGCCTGCCATTGAAAATGGTCGCACGAAAACACTGATTGGCTTTCGAAAAATGTTGCCAATTGACTGTAATGAGAACTGTTCACATGACACGGGTACACTTTGCTTACAAGGAGAGGTCCTTAAGGATAAAATGCCTATGAGATACTCCCGGGCGTAAAAGGAAGTCGCTCTCAGGGCATATGACCTGTACTTCGGACACTCTCTGACCGAACTTTGTTCGTCACGAACTGTCAACGGCTTCAGCCAGAGAAAACCGTGAAGCGGTTACAGGACGGATTTCCACACAGATTTCCGCCAGGCGGGTTTCCCCATCTCGCAGAAAACGGGCGGATTTTTGCTCCAATCACTCGGTATGCAGTATTCCGATAACGTGTTTAGAAAACCATTTACATATAAAAGTTTGTAGCGTGACAACATATATCAGTTTCCCAAAGCATAAATCTACTCTGCGGTCAGTGGTCGTGACACGCGTCCAAATCCAAAATAATATCCATGTCCATCTGGTCAAGCTCTGCCGGCACCATCGCCGCAATCTCCGCTTCCAACTCGGCCACATACGAACTACGACTCATCTCCTCAACAGTACCGCGAACAACTTGCGAGTAACTCGTTAGCTCGGTCCGTCGCCGTAAAGCGCTCGCGGCTTCAGCCAGCCAGAGGTCCACAGCCAGATCGGTGACCGACGGCACAAGTTCACGCCGCTGCCGCTTGAACGGTGACTCCGTCGCAGACGCGAGTTCGAATCCCGTCGACGGACTTTGAGGAACCAGGCTAGGAAACAGGTCAAACGAACCCTCCGGGTGTTTTCTTGGGCGTGTGCTTGTGACTTCTGAGGCATAATCGAAGCGCATGGTTCCGCTGCCGCCAGCAACGGCGCCACCGTCGCTACTCGCGACGCTGCTCGTGCAGCTGGAGCTCCGCCGCAGTCGACCGCCACTTTCGCCGTTTTCGCGGATTTCGCCACTTCCTTCGCGATCAGCTGCGTCGTTGCTCGCTGCCGCGCCGTCCGATTGGGAAGCGGCGAGGTCGCCCCACCGCTCATCGAGCTCCAAGATGAAATCGAGGTCCGAGTCAGCTACCTCCCACGCCGGGCACGCATCGGCACGATCGTCATGATGACGCATTACAGTCGTCCCCGCAGCGGCGCCGGCGCCGGCGGCGTAGGCGGTGGAAGAAGCCGATGTTTCTGTCGCAGCAGCGGCTGCGGCGTTTCTCGCGGTTAAGGGGTGAACATGATGACGGCTTGCAGTCGGCGATTGCGCAGCAGCCCAGGCTAAGGCGCACCAAAACTCGCCGGAGATTGCGGGGAGATCTTCGATATGGGCCATCATAAAAGGGACGCTAGCTAGGTAGTGGGAGAAGTGCGATGCTAGAGTATTACTAGAAAAACGGTTTATTCGCAACTGAATTGTTCGCAGCTGTGTTACTTGCAACTGCTCTTGAACGATCGACAGCTGCGCCTTTGAGTATGGGATCGTCCGCAGATTGGAAAGGCCATGCAGATTGCGGGGCGGTTCTGTTCTAGCTAGAAGCCACTAACTGTAGCACTGCATGCTGATGCAGAAGAGTTTCCGCGTAGCGCGTTCCGTGGGGCGCGCGGGAGAGTGGATCACGTTACTGGAAGGAAGCGAGGAGGGAAGGAGGCGTGTGTAAGGTTTGAGGTGGTGGGCCTATAGAAGATCTGAGCAAAAAACAGAGAAATATATCTCTACAGTTGTGAGGCAAATTTGGCGGGGAAAAAATGTGTAGCAGCCACTGGCGTGCCTCAGTTATCAATCAGGCATAGGATTTGCCAGCAACCTGCGGAGCAACGGCCACATTTGCGGGAGGGTGGTGGAAGCGAGAAGTCTGGCTGGACTCGAGGGTATGTGCTGGGCAGCAGTAGCACTAGCGCATGACAGCACACACAGAACCACATGTTGGTTTTCGTTAATTACCATACCCAAACACTTTATAACAATATTCAATCTTTCTGACCCGTAAAGAAACTCACCTAACCGCAATCAGACGTACGCGCAGGTCACGCCCTCACGAGATTACAGCAGCATGCAGCGTTACAGTGGAGATCCCTGGAGAGAATGAGGGCGGCTGGGGCCAGGTGGGCGGGGGATGGGTGTGGGGAGGAGGGATGGAAGTGGCTGGAGATTGGATTGGAGGAGCTGGGCGGAATGGGCGGAAGTTGGAGCTGGGGGGAGCGAGCGGAAGTCGCAAGCGCCGTGGTCCAGAGTAGAAAGGGGGAGCTAAAGCGTCGCAGCGGGCGGAAGGGAAATGCCGCGGACCTTTATGATTGGTCCGCAAAGTTGCGTTGCTTGCTGCTGGATGGCGGCTCGGAGGAGCAAGACAACGGCGTCGGATGCCCGACAAACGCTTTAGGGACCAGGCCTGAGGAATGCCACACTTGATGCATTTGGAACCGCCGTCAAAACAACGCATGCGACGAAAGCGTGCGTAACGCTTTTCGGAACGATGTTACACGTGGGCAGAGCAGATCGGGTGGACACTGGACAATCAGGAAGTGAAGGCGTGCCCAAAATCGCTTCGCCGAAGCCCTACTCAAATATATATGTTATTCGTTTCCGATATACTGTATATACTATATCCACATTCCAACTCAAATTAACATAGAATGCGGAGGAAAGTGGGAGGTGGACCGTTGGATCTAGTGGCCAACATTTTGTGGCTGACTGAAACACATGCATGATCTGTTGGGGCATGTGGAGCGAAAGGGTCATACCTGGAAACAAACTGATGCGGTACAGTATACAAGACTGTTTCCTCAAAACTCTATTCTATTCACATGTATGACAGCTATGATATAATATATGCAAGCTGTAATTTGCTAGAACAGCTATTTAAACATAACACGATATAAGAGCATAATAATGAGCTTGAATTTTTAAGTATTGTGCTGCATCTTGCAAACACACCATGCTTCAAATCATGGTTCTCTTTTGGAAAAAAATCGCGTCTCAGGAATCAGACACGTTTTGCGCACTTTGTCTAATGCACTTTTCACTATTACAGAAATCTTTTATAAAAAAAAAGTCAGATTTTCCAGAGAATTCTAGAACGACTATATGAAAATTCAGAGAAACGTATTCGCATAGTTTGTATGAGATAATGAGACTTCCAACGCTTCAATAAACTAACGGTTGCACGTTACAAACGAGCATGCAGATGGACAATTCCTACAGTTACCAAGTCTTCAGCATCAAATTCCTCCACCTCTAGCTGCTGCTGCTGCTGCTCCTCCTCCTCCTCCTCCTCCTCCTCCTCCTCCTCCTCCTCCTCCTCCTCCTCCTCCTCCTCCTCCTCCTCCTCCTCCTCCTCCTCCTCCTCCTCCTCCTCCTCCTCCTCTCCTTCTTCCCATCATCCTCAACCACAGCCATCCCCTTCCACTTCCTGATCTCAGCCTCCAGCTCATCGATCTTTCTTCTCTTCCTTGCCTTGGCCTTGCTTTTCTTCTCCCTGGAGATTGGGGCAATAAGGGGGGTAATTGCGTTCTGGCTAGGCTACCTCGGCTTGGCGGCCTTCCAAATGTCGACGATCTCGTCCCACTGCATGTCATAACCCAGAAGGAGGGAGATGCACACAAGGTCGCCCAAGCAGGCATCGAAGAGATTGCCCCGAGACCAGCTTCTGATTATGTTAAAGCGGGAAAATCCCCGCTCGCACTCGACCGTGCTTAAGAGGAGCACGGCGGTCGCCACCCAAATCTTGACAAGATTGGGATAGGTGTCTTCCCAGTCGTGTGTCGCCAGCATGTGCCGCATGCTGACGTGATACGCCATCACCTCGTGATGTGCGTGTTAGAAGACTAACTTAGCTAGGAAGGAATGGCGGCCATGAAATGGCATGAGGGTTTAGGAGCTAGGAGCTAGGAGCTAGGAGAGTGAAGTTTAACGAGAAGAAAAAGGGGAGACTAGAAGAGAGAGAGGCATACAAGGAGGGAGTTGTACCCTCTACAGTAGAGTTCGGTAACCTACCAAGCCTACAATTATATAACAAATATAATTTAACACACCCCCTAGGCTTGGTAGCGGCAAGCCCATCACACACACAGCACACTAAGCCACACACCCCCTAGCACCCCCATACTCAGCAGCAGCGACAGCGACTTCAGCACGGTCAACCCTACGGCGCGTGAGGTGGGGCGACGTTGACAACGAAGGCAGCGACTGCAACGGCGGCGACGGCGGCAGCGTCGACAGTGGCGGCGGCGGCGGCGGCGGCGTGCGGCGGCGTGGCCAGCTGCACCAGCTGCGGCGGCGGCAATTTCAACGACAGCTGCCGGCGGCGGCAAAGCTCGCTACACTCGGCGGCGTGGCCGCGCTCCGCGACGGTGGGACGGCCGGCGCGAGTCAGCCGTCGGCTGCGGCAAGGAAGAGGGGACGCAGGAGAAGGGGGGTGGGGCTTCAGCAGCGGAGCCCAGGAGTGTGCTGCCCCGTGTAGCGCGCTGGCTGCATGCGGGCGTTCTGGCCAGCGCTAAGACGCGGAGCTGGCCGCTGCCGTCTGTGCCGTCTGCGCGCTGTCGCGCAGACGGCACGGCAGTGTGACGGCGCTGTCACGCCGCCACGGCTTGACATCGACGACGACGCCGCCACGGCTTGACGTCGACGTCGCGGCAGCGCGACGCCACGGCAGCGCGTCGCGACGACCGCGGCAGCACGACGCTGCCGGCGGCACGACGACGCGGCCACAGCAGCTTGACGCGGCCGCCATGGCAGCGAGAGAGAGAGAGAGAGAGAGAGAGAGAGAGAGAGAGAGAGAGAGAGAGAGAGAGAGAGAGAGAGAGAGAGAGAGAGAGAGAGAGAGAGAGAGAGAGAGAGAGAGAGAGAGAAACAAGCACGCGGCGAAAGCGTGAGGAGCAGGCCCACAAGGAACGAAATGCTCTGATACCATGTTAGAAGACTAATTTAGCTAGGAAGGAAGGGTGGCCATGAAATGGCGTGAGGGTTTATGAGCTAGGAGCTAGGAGAGTGAAGTTTGACGAGAAGTAAAAGGGGAGACTAGAAGAGAGAGGCATACAAGGAGGGAGCTGTACCCTCTACAGTAGAGTTCGATAACCTACCAAGCCTACAATTATATAACAAATATAATTTAATAGTGCGTCCATGATGTTCATGAATGACGTCAGCCCCGCCTTGGCGCGCTTCTATCTGACGCCTGTGAGAGGGAGGGGAGGAGGTAGAACGCAAGGGGAGGAGAGAAGTGTGAGCGTACGACCCCGTTACACAACTTGGCCTTTCCTTATTTCCTTCCTATTTCATTTCTCTTTTCATACCATCTCATTTGGTTTCCTATTCTCCATTTTCCATTATCCTTTGGTTTATCCTGCTATTATAATTATATCACCGACCAGGCTTTGGATGTACTGACGCGCTATAATTAGCGTAATCCTGCCGTAATCCCTTAAAGCCAATAGCCTCGCGTGGCTATACGCAGGGTAATTCTATATTCTAGAAAGGTCTATTCCCTTTGGATAGGATAAACCTGGTTACCTGATGTACTCGTACCAATCGATAGTGCAATCTTTCCTCGACACATTCGATGCTGTGACACTTGGTAATCAGAGCTTTTCTCACTCGGCCGCGCTCAACAAAGCAGCAGCAGCGGGAAAACCAGCCTCGAAAAACCACCGGGGGCGACGAATTCGGCGCCGATTCTGGTAAGCACCAGCTCCGCGTTTTGAGAATTACCCGCCCCCGCGCGTGTTTTGAACAGGATGGCAACCCTCGACAACGCCGAGGTTACCCAGTAGCTTTTCGCGAGCATCGCCGCTCTTCAGGAGGAGATGCAAGCGGACCGCGAAGCGTGGCGAAACGAATTCGAGCGAATAACTCGACTCGCCGGAGCGCATCACGACTAAAAACGGCGACAACGCAGCAGTCGCAATAGTTTCTCGAGGCTCCGAAACTGCGCCCACCTGAGCCGTTCGATCCGAGCGATCGAAACTCCGACGCACGCAGATGGATCGCCGGGATGGAGATCTACTTCGCAGCCGCCGGATGGAGCTCGCCAATCTGGGACGGTCAACGCGTACGACTTGCGGCGACGCTGATGCGAGGGCGGGCACTAGAGTGGATTGGCAGCAACAGTACCTTTATCCACGGTGAAGCCACGTGGCAGCAATTCCGCGCCGACCTGCTGAAACGCTTCGAGCTGATAAATTCCGCTTTCCTTGCCCGGGAAAAAAATCATCGACATCGACAGTTCGGGAGTGTAGCGCAGTACACGCAGCAAATGGAAGAATTTTATAACCGAATTCCCGACCTAACCGAAGGGGAAAAGTACAGTCGTACCTCGCCGAGCTGAAGACCGAAGTCAAACGACAGCTAGCAGCGTCAAATTACGCGAACTACAGTGACGTCGTTTCGGCAGCGGAGCGCTTCGACATGGTCAACGCCGGGACACGACGGACGCACGTCGGTAGTACGCGATAGGGCGACCGCTCGGCTCACACCACGTTCGCCGACCAATGGAAGTCGACAGGTTCGAAGGGCGGCCACGTCCGAAAAACACCAACTACACGTGTGATTTTTGTGGGGTGCCAGGACATCGAATCTTCGACTGCAACAAAATGAAAGCCGCACGCGCAGAGTATCGGGCACGCAACAGTGGCGGAAATCCTTCGGCCAATCAGAAGCCAAAAAATGGGAGTCGCCAGTGATTGCGGATCTAGCTGGCGAAAAAGAAAAGATCCGGAAGCGGCCGCGGGATTCCTGAAAAATCAACTTCGACGCAGCTGATTTGACGCGAACAGGAGGAAATGATGGTGAAAAATCTCCACCCCACGACCAATCTTCGCCAGGGAAAATCGCCGAGAAAAAATCGAACTCCGCGAAAAAAGACTCTGCCGAGACGGGGAAACTCCTTGAAGACCCAGGAAATTATAAGGATTCCTTAAAGCTATCCTATAAAGATGCTTTAATGAAAACCTGTAATTCTCGAGGGGCTAGAGCCTTGGAGAAAATTCGGGAAGGACTCCAAAAGGAGCAGAAAGCTGTGGAGATTATACCGGTATCGGACAACTTGGGGGAAAAGTTAAGGAGTGTGGAAAAAAGCCGACCTTTCCACGGAGTCAACGTCCTCTCCCGACACCAGCCCACAATGACCACCCGTTCCCCAGGGAAGACGTCGGTGGAGCTGAAGCAGCTCAAGAGGAAGCTGGGGGTCTACAAGAAGCTGCAAAAACCCCGAACTACTCCTCCGGATGCATCCAGTTCAGCAACTTCGGCATCAACGACGCGCACAGTCGTCAAGGAAACTCCGGGCCCTGGAGAAGAGCCGTTCTCCAAGCAGCCTCGGCCAGCTGCCAGCTCAGGAGTAGGAAGCAACGAATATTGGGATGTACCCTATGACCCTAATAATGAAACTATCCCAGTGGAGACGCTCGCACGATTCGAGAAGGATGTGAAGCGAGCCGACACCGGGTTCCTGGCGATAGCAACAGAGGTGGAGAACAACGGAGAGAAGACCTCGGAACCTCCGGAAACAAACAAGGAATTGTTGAAGGAGTTCCAAGACATTCTTCCTGACGATCTTCCAAACGAGCTACCGCCACACCGAACGCATCAACACGAGATCGTGGAGGAACCAGGTTCGAAGCCGACCTTCCGAGCACCATACCGGCTCAGCCCTACGGAGCTGACCGACATGAAAAAACAGATCGAGTATCTCCTCGCCAAAGGACTCATCCGACCATCCACTTCGCCATACGGCGCCCCAGTGCTCTTCACACCGAAACCGAACGGAAGCCTGAGCATGTGCATCGATTACCGAGCTCTCAACAAGCAGACCATCAAGAATAGATATCCGATACCATGAATCGATAACCTACTTGATCAGCTTCGGGGAGCTACGGTATTTTCCAAATTGGATCTGCGGTCAGGATACTGGCAGATATGAATGGCGGACAACTCCATCCACAAAACTGCATTCCGAACTCGGCACAGATCATACGAGTATTTGGTCATGCCGTTCGGACTCACCAACACACCGGCAACGTTCCGAGCCGAGATGAACCACATTCTACGCCCACTTTTGGACGAATGCATGGTGGTGTACCTGGATGAGATCCTCATCTACTCGCGCGACATGAAACAGCACGTCGAACACCTGCGACGCATCTTCGAGATTCTTCGACGGGAACGGTTCTACGTCAAACTATCCAAGAGCGAATTCGCCCTTTAGAAAGTCCAGTTCCTAGGACACGTGGTGAGCGCTCAAGGAGTTCACGTCGACCCCAAGAAAATCGAAGCCGCACGTACGTGGAAGACACCCGAGAACGTGAAGGAGTTGCAGCAATTCCTAGGCTTCTCTAATTATTACAACAGGTTCGTGCCACAGTACGCGAAACTCGCAGCACCACTCACGAATCTGCTGAAGAAGAACACACCCTTTAAATGGGAGCCAAAGCACCAGGAAGCCGTGGAGCAGCTGAAACAAGCACTCACGTCCGCACCAGTACTCATCTTGCCAGATCCCGAACGCGACTACGTTATCGAAGCTGACGCCAGCAACCAGGCAGTGGGATCAGTCTTGATGCAAGACCAGGGGAATGGACTGCAACCAATCACCTACCTGAGTAAGAACCTACACGGGGCAGAACTAAACTACCAAATACACGACAAAGAGGCCCTTGCCATCATCATCGCTTTCAAAGCGTGGAGATGTTATCTCGAAGGACGAAGAACGACCATCTACACCGACCACTGCAACCTGAAACATTTGAAGACACAACCCAACCTTTCCAGGCGACAGGTCCGGTGGATCGACTTCCTCGAGACGCACTTCCACTACGACATCGTGTACAAGCCCGGCCACAAAAACAAAGCAGATGCCGTTAGCCGGCCCGCACACGTTGCCGCCATTCAGGTCGATGGGATGAATCCACTACTCAAGGGACTCTTCGCACACGGGTACACCCTCGACCCCAAAATCCCCTTGGCAGAAAAACGACACCTACTTCAGTACACCCTCCCCTTCTCCTCTGCACAGCCCACCCCTCTGTCTGTAGACCACAGGCTCTCTGCTCCAATTCCTGAGAAGTCGGTAGAGCCAAGTGGCCCTTACGCAGAGCTTGTGGGTTGCCTTATGTACATGATAACTTGCACTCGCCCAGATCTCGCATACCCTCTCAGCATCTTGGCTCGCTTTGTGGCCATAGGCCGACATCGATCTCGGCACTGGTCTGCCGCTAAGAGGGTTTTGCGTTATCTTGCTAGTACATCGGGCATGGGGTTAGTGCTAGGAGGGCGCAGGCCAGTGGTCCTTATTGGGCACACAGACGCTTCGTGGGCAGACGACGCCGAGACTCTTAGGTCCTCGCAGGGCTACTGCTTTAGCCTTGGTTCAGGTGATGTCTCATGGAGTGCTACATGCTCGTCGTCTGTTGCCTAGTCCAGCTGTGAGGCCGAGATCTACGCAGGTGCCATGGCAGCACAGGAGCTCCGCTGGCTGACCTTCTTGCTCACAGACTTAGGTGAGCGGCATAGCTCTGCCCCAGTCCTGTAGGCTGACAATAGGGCCATGATCCTCTTGTGTCAGGAGCCTCTACCCGAGGGCAGAGCAAAGCACATCCAGCTGCGGTACTTCCTCCTGCGTGAGCTACAGTAGCGCCTCCAGGCTCGCGTAGTACACTTGGCCTCCGGTGCCAACACAGCTGATATCTTTACGATTGCTCTTGCGCCTAAAGATCATCAGCGGCACTGTGTACAGCTTGGTCTTGTTCCTGTAGCCATTATTTGCTAGGGCCTTGATTGTGTACAGACCTTTCTATATATATTATCCAGACTGGCCTTGTGACCTCTCCTAGTGGCTGGACTAGTAGTGCTGCCCTGGTCTTGCTTTTGTCTTGTCTGTACTCCTTTTGACTGGTCTTTAGACCCTTGTCTCATAGGCTGGACTAGTAGTGCCGCCCTGAACT